AAGCTTGGTGTGTGTGAGTGTGTGTTTTTTTTAATCTGAGGTTTAAAATAAATAATAAAAAAAAAACTAAAATCCTCTGTGACAAACACTTTGGCTGAGGTATGACAAACTTGGCTTACGGCTGACATCACATTCAGAATGTGAGAGAAGACAATCATCTCCCCCCTCCCCCACCCACTTCTTCATCAACCCCCACACTCTCCTCAAGAGTCCTCAGGATTAGGCTCTGGAAGGTTGCAGATAATAGATCAAAGAGATGTATCAGAAATCACCTCCTGTCCTTCCCACACAGTGTCCATCTCAGGCCATGATGGAATGTTACAAGCCACCCCCCCCCCCCCCGTCAATCAATAAGACCAGCGAGACAGGGGGCATGCAACAAACAAACAAAAAAAGCAGCTTAAAAATACCAATTAAAATGGCACACATACAAATGTCATTTTTAGACAACTTGATACTGCAATTTAAATTTTGTCCTGGTAGCTGATCCATAGTGTAGATCATGATAGCAAACTACTAGCTGAGCCTTTAGCACCTCCTATAGGCAGTGCATGGAAAATAAAGTTAACCACACTGCCCACACAGTATATGTATGCATGCATATCACATGAGGTCTGTGTGTGTGTGTGTGTGTGTGTGTGTGTGAAAGAAATTTGTGTCATTATTCTTCAACAAATACAACAATATGCAGATCGGCTAATTGAAATATCTAAACTGCCCACAGTGTATTTGTATGTGTGACTGTGTGCCCATTGATGGACTGACATCCAATCCATGGTGTATCCTTGCCTAATATCCAGTGCCACCCAACCCTAACCATACCCTCCACTGGCTACGCACTGGGAAGTCGGACAGATCTTTGTGTGAGCTGCAAAATAAATAAAAAGTACGAAAAAACCACAATATAGCAAAAGCTCAAATATTTTGTAAGCAAAAGCTTCAATCACTTACATCTAACAGGCTGAATCCCATTTAAGAATCCAGCATGATTACCTATTTGTCCAGTTAGACCAGAACAAGAAAATCTTACGTTACATAAATTATTTCATTTGAAAATGCAGTTAACTAATAGATAGTTGATTTGCGTCAGCAGGCTTAGAATACCCCAATATTGTATGGAAGAAATGGAAAAGGCCGCAATGAGTTCAGAAAAGCCATTATCACTAATGGCAGAAAAATCAATTATCAATTGTCCTTCTGATGGCCTCTTTAAATGGAGTCTTTAACTGTCCGGCAATTATTGCTGGCAGAAGGCAGTGACTTGGTACTTGGTTTAAAAAAAAAAAAAACATGAACAAGTAGTTACAAAGAACATACAATGCTGAAAGCTTTCTTCAAAAATGTCAGACAGGGTAATGGGGGCAGTACATTGGCCCAGTAGGTGGCGCTGTTTCAACATACTTACAGGGTTGGGGGTACAAATCCAACCTGTACTCCATCTGTGTGCAGCTGGCATTTTGTTAGACTGATCAGCATCTGTAATTTGCCAGCAGGATGTATGTGTCTTCTGATGGACAGGATTCCTGTCCAGCAAGGACCTCTGCTTGGTGTCTTATATGGAGCCGTTATGAACCTTTCGAGGAAGGCTGAAAGACGGACCGGAGAGAGGACTCTCGTAGAAGTCATAAAATATGTAGATGGCACACTGTGCCATAAAGGACAGTGGGTGCCTCACGATTTAGCATTAAATATGGGGTGGAGTGTGGCCCAGTGGGTTGGGCCACTGTCCCTGATCAGAAGGATGCTGGTTTGAGTCCCAGTGTCGACAGAGATTTCATTAGGGGGCCCTTAGCCTGGGTCTAATCCGACTTTCTCAGTCGCTAAATAAATAAATCGTAAATATTTATCTAATAAACAGAGTTTACTTCTGACCTTCTGGCCAGGGAGATCACGGTCTTCCATCACGACATACAACACCATCCTTACTTCCTGACTGTGCAGCTGTTCCCCATAGAACGTCCTCCAGAAAAGTAAACCTGTACCTGCAACTCGAGTTTGGAAGGAAACCTTACTGATGGGGGGGGGGGGGGGGGGTCATGCCATGCTATCTCAGCATTCACCTTCAAGATGTTATCATTAAGCAGCACCTGATGCCCAAGCTGTGAGAGACAAGGGCAACATCTACTACTAATTTGTCTTCCAGTGTTAGTGGTTTCCACTATATACGCTGCTATTGGAAGCTGTGGGGAAATGTACACCTGGGCTTTAAACTGGCAAAGTACTGATCACCAGCACAGCATCCTAACCCCCTGACTACACACCCGCAAAATGCTAAAAAATACTTTAAATATCTGTATATATGCCTCAGCTGCTACACAAAGCCAACAAAAAAAAGTTACGAGGGGAAAAAAAGTTAATAAAGTCAATTCCTACACTTTTTCATAGACATTGTACATTATCTGTATAATTAGGCAAACCATTCAGAAAGAAGCAAAGCCAGAGCCACCATGCACCTCTGGCTTCACACTCCAGCTTTCTTATTCGTCTTATGCTGTCCATCATCATGGCACAATTTTTTGCACAACTGTCTAAAAACGCATGACCCCCCTCCAGTCTCATGCCATGTGAATGGAAGCACACCCCAAGGAGCACCGCCTTCAGCTCACTGCTCGTAAACACATTGCATTTTTACGTATATAGCAGACACTTTATCCGAAGTAGCACACGGACAGTCCCTGGAGCACAGACGACCTAATAGAGAACAAAGCTACTGATACCAGGATTTGAACCACCAACCTTCTGATCACAAAAACAGCATTCAAACCGAAGGAGCCAAACATTGCTCCCTAAGGCAAACTGGCCACCGCCTTGAAATGAGCAAATTACTATACAAAACTAATTTAAAACAGTTGCTACACAAAAAAAATCATTATAACAAGCAGTTATATACCTTGTTTGAACAGCGAAAGGTTGTGCAGGCTCCGCTGTGGGGGCAGCAGGAAGACGCCACTTCAGGGCAGGGAACTCAATGACGTTACAATACGACAGTCACCAGCTAGCCTGAGCGCATGCTTCCGGAGTTTGGGAGAACAGTGGAGCATGCGGAGGAAAATCACACGCGCGGCTTTCATCCTGCTTCCTGTGGGGGGTGCATCACCTGCACAAGCCTGTAGCATTTAGCATGAATGACCGGCAGCCAAAGGCAGCCAAGGGACCCAAAACGAAATCCTAGAAGCAAAATGGTGTGATAACATGTAATAACAGCTTATAAACAATATTACATTTACTGCACCTTCACAATGCTTTTAAATAACATACATAGAAGTCAGTGCACCTTCATAATGCATTCATAAGCAGCATGTAAGTATACCTTAATACACATTATAATTTGCATAATAATGTTTGTTATTATTGTATATGAAAGCCGTTAAAGCATATTAGGATGTAAAGGTATACTTACATGCTGCTTATGAATATTCTTTGAGTGCATTATGAACACATTATGAAGGTGCAGTTATTGTAAAGCGTTACCCAATACAATATCAGCAATCGCTTCTAAGGTCTAAAGGAAAAATATCCTTGTAACACCCTTAAAAAAAAATCAAAAGTTAAAATGTAATTCATAACACTGAGCCTTCTAAGATCTGTAAACTCACCAGCCACTATTAATACCGTTATCCCATTAATGAGACGGGTTTGTTCAGATAGGAATCTGCTGACGTCCGTTTCATTTTGAGACATAAGCAAGACAATCAGCACCCACAATAACATCCTCTTCATGCAAAAAGCGCACCTTTGTCTTTACATAAAGATGCCAGTGAGAGATATAAAGCTTTTTCATAATCTAACACTCAGTAGAGGTCCTGCTGAATGCAAAAATACCAAGTACATCAGAGATGTACTAGAGCAGCCATCACTGACCATTTTAGCATTGATGTGTGAAATCTATTCCAGAATATCTATAGCGGGACCATTTCCAGATACTGTAAGGACCTGGGGGCTGTAGAGGATCAGTGGAAAAAGGATTTCACCTAGTGGATTTAAGCAGTTAATTATAAATGTCACAAACGATATTTTTAGGACTAAAAGAGGTGCACAAAAGAGAAAAGCTTTTCATATGATTTTGTGCCATATTAATCTATACGTTCTGCATTTTCCCAATATGGAACAGGGGGATGCTGTGCAAGTTGCAAAGGCAATCCGGGTGCAGTGGCTCTGTGGGCTGCACTGTTACTTCATACCTCCCGGGTTGTGGGTTTGCATCGCATCTGCATGTTAACATGTCCTCCCTGCATTCGTGTAATGAAGTGAATTCGATTATACCCTGGTAAAAAAAAAAAAAACACCATTCTCACCCGAGGAGAAGGGAAAGGAGGTAGAGAGAGAGAAAAAAAATTAAACATAGAGCAGTTTGTGCAGATTAAAAGCAGTGCAATGCAGAGAGTTGACAGATACAACAACAACACAGATAACATGCAGCTAGATACGGACAGTTGTCTGATTTGTACAAACCACCACATACCTTGTGTTTACTCCTCTCTGTCTTGTGCCTTGTATTTATTCTGTCTGCATCATTGCATAATTGTTAGTTGTCTATTGTCATGGCGTCTCCAACAGCAGCAAGCAAAGAATCCATCAGCCTTGGTCGTGCAGCAATAAAGATTTTGATTCTGAGGCAGTCGCACCAAAATTATTTTGAAATTCCATATTACAAAAAAAACATATTTAAAAACACAGACACTGCAGTTCCGGAAGGGCTTGAATGAGGACGACAGTGACCACACCAGCCTACAAGCTTGTACATAACACCACAACTTCAGAAGATGGCAATTAAAACAAAAAGGACTCCAGTTCCAGATGAGGACAGCCAAGGAATCAACAGCACAATGAAAATACGGACCACACTGCAAGCTTAAAGAGAACGAGGACGACCAGAAATGGCGACCGATTAACCATCTATGAGGCTCACTTACCTTCAAAGCCACCAAAGCTTGTTCTGATCTCACACAGTTATATAGGACCTCACTGTAACCCACAATCAACAGGAAAGAAAAGTCTAATTAACCAAAGGATTTAAGCTTTATTTGCCTTTTCTGATCAACCTGAAAACAGTCCACATTTAACGTGTCTGGTTTTGTGTCACTGGAAGCCATGAGGAATGATCAAATGCAGCAGTTACTAGGTTTCAGTGTGTTCAGTGTGGGCCGTGTTGTTAGACAGAAATATGGACAGACGGGGAAACTGCCAGCGCTGAACCACAGAGTCTGCATTTCTGACACAAAGCTTTTCGATTCTGCGATCCCAAAGGCAGTGGGGCAAAATTCCAAAGTCTACTAATTCTGAAAAAATAACTATCCTATTTGTGTTTCAGTCCTTCGAACGCAGGACCTCCAGCCTGTGAGTGTCTGTGATGCTGGGATCCCACGTCTCCAGCGAGCAGCTTCTGAAAATAAATATCTCTCAGTTGGCAGCACGTACAGACCAGTCTGCTGTGCTCGGGCCGGCGAATCACTTCTCGATGGTGATGTCCAGCGCGTGTGCATCTGGGTACATGCCCTGCGGTGACACCTGCGAGGGAGCGGAGACCACCAGAGGTAGGCTGTGGATGATGACGCCCTGCGAACTGATGCTCAGGTTGGGGACCACAAGGCCGGCGTCCGCACCAGGGACAGAGTCACCGGGGACCTGCTTGGTCAGATCCCGGGAGGCAGTCGAGGGGGCGACAGAGGAAGCCACGCCTACGGCGGCGTTGCCCTCAGTCACCACTGTCACCTCAGTGCCTCCCTCCTGGATGAGCGCATTGAGGCCATCCAGGTCGGAGCAGGCTGTGATGAAGGCTTGGGTGCTGGCCGAGTCGTGCCCGCTGACGGCGGCGCTCTGCAGGAGGGCCTGGTGGAGCGGGTCCCCCGGCCCGGGGCCTAGGTGGGTGAGCAGCACCGCCTGGGATTCCAGGGCCTCGCCGACCTCAGCGTGCGGCAGGACGTGCTGGACGGGCGTCAGCAAGCTCACCTGCTGTATCATGGGTGCCTGCACCACCATGTCCGGCCCAGTGGGGCTCAGCACCACGGGGTCGCCTTTGGCCCGCGGCACATCCACAGCGGCCGGGACGAAGGTGCCTTCCTGGGTCAGCGGGTGGCCCACGATGTAGGCGGACAGCTGGGGGGGCTGCAGGGCCCTGGGGTCCGTGGGGCGGCCAGGATCGGCGGCCTGCAGTAGGGAGAGCTGCGAGTCGCGGTGCTGCTTGCGGTGGCTGCGCAGCGAATCCTCCCGCACAAAGGAGGCGCCGCAGACATCACAGCAGAACGCCCGGGCAGCGTCCAGGCGGGCACGGTAGCGTGAGCTGACGGGCTTGGGAGCCTCCTCGCCGCGGGTCGCCTTGCCCGCCCCTCCGCCGCCCTTCTCGGCCCCCTCGGAGTGGAACTTCTTGCGGTGGATGACAAGGTTGCTGCGCTGCTTGGTAGCAAAGCCACACGCGTCGCATTTGAAGGGCCGCTCCTCCGAGTGGATGCGCTCGTGAATCTTGAGCGCCCCCTTGCTGGAGCAGGAGTAGCTGCACTTGCCGCACTTGATGGGCTGCGCGGGCTGATGCTCGCGCGAGTGTTGCCGCAGCGCCATCTTGCTGCCGCAGTGGAAGTCACACTGGCTGCAGCGGAAGGAGTCAGCCGTGCTGTGCCGGATCTGCACGTGCGACTTGAGGTTGCCCTTCATGGCGCAGCGGTAATCGCAGAACTCGCACTGGTACGGCTTCTCGCCCGAGTGGATGCGGATATGCCTCTTCAGGTCTGAGTTGATCTTGAACTTGGCCTCGCACTGGTGGCACTGGAAGGGTGCGTCGCCTGTGGCCAGCAAACATTAACAGACAAAGACTCCAGAAAATGAGTGTGGGGCAGAAAGACACCCCCCTTTTACACTCCATTTTATTTATTTAGCTTATTTTTAAGAGAAATCAAGGTCCCTGGAGCAAGTTTGGGGTTAAGGGTCTTGCTCATGGGCCCAAAGACTGGTTTGAACATTATGGCGGTTGAGGTCTCCACCCATTTAAGGGGAGACATGATAATTCGCTATTAGCTGGTTTTAATTATTAGGGGGGTTACTACCCCCCCATAATTTACGCCCATTGGTGAAATCACGTTACCAACTGGGATTTGAACTGATGACCTTCCGATCACAGGTACAGCATCGTAACCCACTAAGCCACACGCCTCCCTCCCTTGTTCCCAGTGGATCCCACGTTCAAAGGTGAGCCTGAACTATGACCCCGTTCTACCTGAAGCCTCGAGGATCGGTGGCGGACTGACCGGTGTGTGAGCGTAGGTGCACGGTGAGCTGACTGGAGTTGCGGCTGGCGTATGGACAGATCTGGCACTTGAAAGGCCGCTCGTCATAGTGGATGCGCAGGTGCTTCTTCAGGCTGCTGCTGTCGGCGGCAGCGTATGCGCAGTACTTGCACTTGTGCGGCTTCTCGCCCGTATGCGAGCGGCTGTGCATGTTGAGCTTGTCCCGCCGGCTGAAGCGCTTGTGACACACCTCACACTCGAACGGCTTCTCGCCTGCAGGCACGGGGGACAAAATACGAAAATGTACAAGTGGACGAACAGTCCAGCGTACAAATAGGTAAGCCAAGGGAATGGGCAAAGTGAACAAACAGGCAAAGAACAAATGGGCAAAGCGAACGAACGGGCAAAGCGAACGAACGGGCAAAGCGAACGAACGGGCAAAGCGAACGAACGGGCAAAGCGAACGAACGGGCAAAGCGAATGCATGAAACAAAAACAGAGGAATGAATGGATGAAGAAAAAAAAACAGACAAATCAAGAACACAAAAATGGACAACACAAATTATCATTATCTAAAAAAAGACCTACAGTAAGCTTCAATTATTCCTATGCAGTTAATTAATCTCTGACTTTCCTAATCTTTTAGCCATTATCATCATCTATTTATACTCCCAGTAAAAATTACGCAATCATGTACAAACAAATCCACAGACAAATAATTTGATGCTAACTTTAGGTACATTAAAATGCTTAACACAGTTTTTATTCAACCTAAAACATTAAGGCCCACTGGTGCCCCCTAGTGGTTAACATGGTATGACATTGCAGAAAACGCTACTGCTGAAACAGCCTGTCCCCAGCATGATCAGCCATCAGAAGGATGCCATGGAAACTGCTAACTAAGCCTGAAAGCACCAAGAGGGCTTGCAGAGGACATGAGCAGCCCCGTGTGTGGCTTTCAAAGCTCCTCTATAACCTTATGCACAGCTGGCAAATCCTCTCTAAATTGTGTCTTTGTAGGCTGAACACTGTGGAGTTCAGGGACTACACTTACATTATTGCATGTTCAATGTATTTCGCATCAGCTTTTGTCCAAAGCGATCTAAAAATGAGACTTAGCACATTACAAACACCCATGCTGTCAAGGACTTGCCTAGGCATAAGTACAGCTAGGCTGAGCTTCCAATGAATGCGCAGGTACAAGTGTAAGCAGCATTGGTGAGAGAGCTATACAATATCAATTTTCAAAAAGAAGAGGGATAAGACTGCAAACATTATCCACAAATACAATGCTGAAGGAAAGTTAAACACTGTCGTTTCCTACCCGTGTGAGTTTTGAGATGTCGCTCCATGTCCTTCTGACCATACTGGGTTTTGAAGGAACAGCCTGAACGTGAGAAAACTCAGGTCAGTTAAACCGTGCATTACAAGAAAGTCTATCTGACATCTTCATTGAGGCCTAGATGAAGTCTAAGAGAACCTGTGCTTTGAAAAACATTTAACATCAAGAACGAGTGGAACTAAATATCTGACAGTTCAGGCCCAGATGTTCATACCTTTCCTGTCATTTCAATTGCAATAAAAAAATAATGGTGCTCGACTGGGGCCAATCGGGCCTTTCTAGAAGACCGGTAGAATAATGTAAACGCTAGGAAAATGCACAAGCCGGGACAGAGCCGATTGGCTGTGATCAGCATCAGATTACAGGACCCTCCAATAAAAGGGATAACAGAAAAAAATCCCACCTGTGAAGCAGCAGCTACGTCTCTTTGCAGTCAGTGCAGGTTTTAACTTTTTCACCGGCATCTTCGGTGCTTTGGTTTGCATCTTTTTGACACTCCTCGCGACGCAGGCCTGGTAGGTCTCCTCAAAAACAAACTCCGCGGCAGAATCTATTCCAACCAAGACAATTAAAATGTCTTTTTTTATATATATAAAAAAAACTTTTAAAGGTTTCCAGGTTTTCCCGAGGTGCTGATATAACAGAACAAGGCTTGGGTGGTATCTAATTTTTGAAATAGTCATACAGATATTATACTACGATACATGTTAATCTGACGGTATATTCAAGAGCAATGATAGTCCAGTATTTGGAGATCTTGCAGATAAAATTTGCTAAGTGCTCCTGCACAATAAAATGTGTGTGTGTGTGTGTGTGTGGGGGGGGGTAGTTGGTGGTACACAGATTACACAAAAAATACTGCAAAATAAAACTATTATTTGTAAACCTTTGACCCCAATGTCCAAAACCTGCCATAAATTAACACCAAAACAAGAAGACATATGACCCTGCTCCTGACTACTCATGGAAGAACTTTCTGACAACTGTAAATATTTTCACACCCGTCTTTACAGATGTGCACTGCCTTTTAATATATGTGTTGCATTTACTTCCAAATATCTATATTAATCTCTGAATTTTTGCATGGTAATTTATTACAAAATAATAGCAACTGGATGCTTTTAAATTCACCCATTCAAGGTGCATCTACACATACATTGTAGATCACACTGCCCAGCACAGACTCCAGACACTCCTCCTGAATAGAGCAGACACAAAGTAAGCTTTTCTTTTATGATCTATATGCAAAATATCTCCCACCAGCTCAAAAACCAGGACATACCCCTGGAATGCTGGTGTATATTTACCAGACAAATTCTAGGACAACACAAGGCTTACTAGAAATGCAAAAAAGGTTTTGACACTATAGACGCATGTGGCAAGAATCATAAGGACAGAAAGGATCATACCAAGCACTCTGAAAAAGACAAACTGACAAGTTCAACTGTTCCCAAATTCTTCAAAGAGGTATGCATTCACTATGAGGTCATGATCTGCAAGTCTTTCCCTTAGAAGTAGTCTAAAAGTCAGACACAGGTTTAAGAAATCTCCATGTAAGGACACAAAGCTTCAGCACAGTATTGTTGTTACTTGTTTGCCTCTCACCTGTGACGGTAGGAACAGCTGATGTGGCAGATGTGTCAGATGAGGGAATGTGGCAGCCATTTTGTTTGTGGGCGAAAAACACCTCAAAATTGTTGTACTGCTGCTTGCAAACGCCACAGATGTGAATATCGGGACTGACCTCCACCAGTACCTGGCTCCCCCCAGAAACTACTGCCGTAAAGAGGGAGCATAAAATTGGGTAAAAAAACGTAAAGAGCTCTACTTAATACTTAATGTTTACATAGCAAAAACTTTTTCTCCCCTGTAAAATTTAAAGTAATTCATAGCTTCCCAGCACTGAGTTTAATGTCTAGCTCCAAGTAAATAAAGACATGATTAAACAGTTAACTAGTCGAAAGGCTACTATTTGTGCTGGCTCCACATTTTGAGGGATGCAAAATAATAAACTATACCTACCTACAAGAGGGAACTATAATGACTGACAGACAGCTATCGTTTGATGCTTACCAATAACCAAATAGATGCAGCCCGACTGCAATACTGTTGCAATGCACCTGAAATGCTTTCTGAATGCAACTTTAACAATAGCGTACCTTGGGCTCAAATGTGCAGCACGAAATCACACCGCTTTATTCTACGAAAAATAAAATAAGTTTCACCTGACTTTTGAACACACACAGTTATGTGTACAGTTAACTGCGTGTTTAGTCCTCAAACAGAGCCAACAGATATCCGGTTTTAAAAGACTCAGACAGCTGGAGGACACCTTACCGTCTCCGTTGAACGATGCCATGTAACTAGCCAAAATATCAGTACTTAAGCTAGCCACTTAATCAACTAACGACACTAATCGCGTAGCCTGAAGAAGCTAAAATAAACGCTCCTGAATGTCGTGTTATTTACGGGACATTTAGAATGAGTACGTTGTGCGGCTTACAGTTAGGGTTGCTTTAACACATTACTAATTTGGCCGAGTTTATTTCTAAGTAACAAGCTAGCTAACTAGCTATTAGTAATCTATCTTCCTAAAGCGGCATCTAGGTCCCTGCTGCCGTACGTCCATTTTTACGACAGCTGCCGGGTGCTTTACGGCAAACTGTTAGCGACGCATGAATGATGCGCTCGTGGAGCTGGGAATGTCATCGGGGTGTCAGGAGTGCGTTTAGGGTACGCTGGATGCATGGACACTTATGCAAGATCAATGAATCAGAAATCCAGATAAATGCTCCACTAATAACAACAACAAAGAAATATAGTGGGGACTTGCTTTTCATTTACGATGCACAAAAAGTGGTTTTGTTTATTACGCACGATAACATGTTTGTTTCTGAAATATACACGTGAGCAGGAATAGGGAATGCTTAAATAAGGAACGCTTTTTAGCCAGGATTTTCACAAAATTATTCCGCACTGATTAACAAGTAATTAAATTGTTTCGATAAACCATTGTGTTTATTATATATCATTTCAGTAACCTGAGTAACCATTGCACAGAATAATCAGATAAATGCTGGAATAAATAAATGGACGTGAATTAGTCTTTTCACTGCTGTTTATAGAGACATTTTTAAATACATTGAGCTTACAGTCTGGCAATTTTCTTTTGTTGCGGCAGTTTTCACTATAGGCTGTAGGCGGAGCCATTGCAGCGCAGTTTAATATCGCTTAACTGTCTACTTTTCATTTTATTAGGTTTGGGTGAATTCGTCCAAGGTTGTGTTGGAAAATATGTGTGTTACACACAAACGGCATTAAGTCTGGGAAAACAAGAAGTAGTGCTGAGATCAACACAAGGCATTTTAAATTATATTTTAAATATTAATATTTCATAGAAAACGAAGATCTGGAGATCACGTAGTTTTGCATGAATATTTTTCAGCTATGAAAACATAAATTACTGTCACAAGTCCACAAAAGAGGCCTGCATGTGCCCATGTCAATTTAAAAGATGGCAGCGTGAGACCATGCTGTTACTGCTGCAAGTACATAAGTAGAGCAATAGCTGACTTTCCGGAGGGACTGAAAATTAAATGTGAATTTGCAGTTCAATAGCAATCATATTTAGCGGTTTATGCGTGGAGAAAACAAATGCATGGCGCACGCTTCTCACGACGGATTTGTCTTTCTTTGCTCTCAGGCTTCATTTTGCGTTCTGCCTGTAGGAAGAGGTGGTGTCCTGTCCCGGGGTTTTATATTCAGACCTTTAGTTATTACGACCTCCAGCGCCGGTGGATGCCGGGCCCCCCGGTGGAATGAGTGACGCCGTGTCCGATCCCTTACGGCAGAGCCGCAGTCGGAGGGAAGCCGATTTACCGACGGAGAAATGCGCCCGGCCGCCGGTCTCCGCTTTGCTGAGGCAGCAAACGGCTGACAACACATTGAGCTGTTCTTTAGCAGAGATTACGCGACCAACTGCTTCATTACCAAAAGCCTGCACATGGCTCTTTTATTTCTCCCTCTCGGCCTCTGCCTTTAGCTTTCCAAACCCAAGATGAAATTTTAATGCGCCATGAAATATATATTTTTATGCATGAAAATATATTGAAAATAAACACTGCAGCACCCTGGTCAGTTGAATAGCAATTAGAGCAAAAACAAGGCTAAACGATATATCCGTTTTTACATGAAATAAGGATCTGTATAGCGATAGTAATTGTTGAATATCTAGGGAAAACTACATTGCTGCAGTTCAGCTTCTCAGGTCAAGCAACGATGCTTTAAGTTTTAACGTTTTAATCCCGGCCAAAAATTTCCAGTGAGGTGCCTATAATTCAGTTAACCCGAATCCCACAGAAAGTGGAAATAGCCTACATTATTCTCGGCATCAGCCTTTTGTGACCTTAATAGACATTATCATTTATTTGTGACATTTGGGTGTTTGTATGAGCAAGAAATGGGTTTTCAAAAACAAAAAGAGTTTTCCAGTAGAGGGCATTCGGTGAATGGCTCACCCTGGCCCCCAAATACTGTAGTTTTTTTCTGCTTATTGCCTTCTCTTTCTTTTATTCATGATCTCTCTCTATAGGGAACAATTCTACACTTTTATTAATTTTCACTTGTCTGGGAGGAACAGTCTGAAGCATAATTCTTTTGTTCTCCTAAACTAGAAATATATTCGTATCATGCCACGGTTATTATTTTAGAGCGGGTTCTCTACGTTATTGCTTTAATGACACTTTACATTTCCTAATGTCGTTTCTATGCGCTGGTGTTAGAAAGTAAATCGGCGTGGAGTAAAATGCACACAGAAATGCAGTTAGTCATTGTATACAGCGCAAATGCTTTGGCTTCCCGCTGATATAGGCAGCTGGTTTGTCTTCTTTGCCTTATAGCTGAGTCAATTGTTTTTCAGTGACAGGCTCCATTCTGATTTCCAGCGATCCAGTTCATTGATAAGCAGAGGAACTTTAGGACTGCGCTCCCTGTCCGAAGTTCATTATTGTCGGGAGCTGATTTACTTTTTGAGGGCTACAGCAACAACCCGGTGACACTATTAAGTGACCACTGCGTATTAGTTTGGAGCCCGTTGGGGTGTCTGGCTTTGGCTCCCATCATTGTCGAGGCCGCCTTTCGTTCACTTGCCGGTCCAGGTCTCCGTCCGCCTCTTCCTCCTTGTATGGCGCACAGATGGGTTCGTGTTAAACCCGACTATTTGGACAGTTCGCACGCAGGGGTGACTTTTTAGTTAATTTAATGGGGCCTGTCTTGTAATATTTTTTGCCCTCCTTAAATCACCTTAAGGAAAAGTCCACCCAAAAATGTATAGTCCATTCATTGTTCCTATAGAAAATACTATTTAAATATATTCATGTTCGTTACATAACATATAACAGCAGTTGTTCTGAGGATAACAGTCTGCTTTGTGTTTTTCAGTACATATATATATAGGCCTACATCTTATAAGCTTATATCAGTTTTTGTGAGGTGTAAACATAATTTAATTGTGCATGCAGTGGTCTTTTGAATCAACTATCAGTTATTATAAAAGTTTACATAGGCCTAACTCCGATAAATTGTTGTTTCATGATTGGTATTTTATTATCATTTTCACGACGCTTTTAGTTGCTGAATAGTACTCCTGCTTTTAAATTCATGGCTCATGTGAAGATTTCCCTGTTTTCGACAGTTATGTTTTGTTGCCTCTGCTAGGAGGTAAACAACAGACAAAAGACATCGAGTTATCGTTTTTCTTCTGCATTTACTCAGCTTGTGGGATGCAGAGCAGAAGAAGGGATCTGCAATCGTTTATCTCCCCTTGATTAAAAAAAACTGCTATAATAATATGAGCATCCCTCTCGGCCAAAGAGCATTTCCATGAGCGGTACGTAAACCCTCCAAAAACACCCATTGTTGAATGTGCATCATAAAGTTCAGCTTTTGCATATGCCAAACGTGTGACGGCCCCTTGACAGACGTGATAATTAAAAAGCCTCGCTGCTACGAGTTAACGCCCTGAGAAACGTGCAAACGCCGTAAGCCAGAATGAGCTCTGCAGCGGCCACTTTGATCTGGCGTCAGTGCATATAATTGCGGACTTTGCGAAGAATCGGGGATTAAAGTTCTCGGCAGCGGAAGCTCTTTCCGCTGCTTCCTCGGGACTCCTAACCCTGTCCTGGAAAAGCGCGATCGTCCTCAAGGCAGCTTGGTCGGTAGATCATGACCATTGTGCTTCATGACGAGCAAGTCAAGCGCACTGGGCTTTGCAGACATCCATGCCTTTGTGGAGAGTCTTGCCATTCAAAGTTACTTTTATAGCAGCTTTATGAGTGTCAGTAATTAGAACAGGCTGTAGCTGCTCTAGGTGTCTATTAGCATTATGTGTGTTCGTTCAAATTGTATTTAATTAAAAGCCTAGACATCTGTCACCAGACTGCAAAACAAAAATGGATACTTTGCATTTCCCTCTTCATTACCGTGCACTTCTTCAGTGGATTAAACCAATTTCGACTGCAAAATTGCAGTTTCAGGCTTAAAGTGACATATATTTCATGTGTGAGTTGTGTACCTTCTATGCATCACCATTGCCGGTATAATTTTTGTGGTCCTACAAATCAACATGTAGGCAATTGCTTCACCTACCAAATGAATAAATTCCCTAGGTTGAAGAAAAAAATCTTTAAAAGGTCCAAGTAATGACATATCAAAATAAAAAGAAATGACTAAATTAGAAAAATATAAGGCTACAAATCTTTAGATAATTGAGGTGAAAAGTTCGTCGTAACCTTATGACTTTCAGCCTTAATTTTATAAGGACACAAATGGGATCCGCAATTCACAGCTAGCCCTGGTTCTGACAGGCAGGCGCACTGAAATGATGGGGGATGAGGTGAACAACTGTACTTTCTCAAAGAAAATAAATTATTTATGAAGGAATAAAAACCCAATAAAAACTCTCCCTAATTAACATCAATGACAGAATGTATTTGAGCGACTGTTCAAAAAATATCCATAGTAATCTTCCTATCATTGTTTTTCGGTATTTGGAAATCTGAGCATTTACAATGTACAGTAACGCAACGCACAAAGGAAGCTTCGCCTCATGTAACATGAAGTTTGGGGCTGTTCCTGATCAGGCAGCTAAAGCAGCCAGGCTGAGGTTCATCTCAGTTGTTCACGTTTTAGCCATCTGATACCACATGAAAAAGAATAGTCCGTGGGCAGCCGTGTCCTTCCTCTTCCTGCGGAGAGGAGGGCAGAAGCACTGGGGACGACGCCATTGTCACATTATTTCCCCCTAAAGAGGCGCACCAGCTGCTTACGCCTGCTTAATGGCCAGGAGCTGTCACAAGGTATCACGGCGGGCGGCTCTGTGGCACAGGCAGACGTTTTAATTGCAGACTGACTTGTGGGTTGTCAACAGCAATTATAGTACATTTCCACCTGAGGGCACCAAAGCAACACCACCTACTGCCAGCTGCTCTGCTACCACCTGCTGGTGTGGAGGACCAGAATGTAACTGCACCCACAGGTAATGATGTGGGTGTCAGTTCAGTAACCCCCAGCAGAGCATGCTCCTGCATTCCTGACCCAAAAATAACTCTATTACGCCCCCTTTCAAACACCACGTTGCTTCTCTAGCACCAATATGAATGAAAGATAGCACAATATGAGCCAGGAACACCACTATTTTTATTAAATATTCACATGCTGTGTTTTTGCCACCCCAAGGCTTTGTACTTATTTATTACTGTGAGGGATTTAAGCTTTATTTTAGTTTTATTTTATTTATTATTCAATTAGATCTTTTCATCAGTTTTGGCGGATAGAGAGTGCATTTACCAAACTCATTCTCCAGGTAATTGTAACACAAATTATCATAGCAGACATAAAATAACCCATGAGGCTAAATTTAATTTATGACTGTTTCAGTTTATTTATTTACTTTTTTGGCACAGAATGGTCTAAAGAGGATATAAGAGTTTACCCAACAATCATGTTTGAGTGAAGGCTGATTTGATGAAATGTCTAGTTTTTTTTTGTTGTCGCTGTTATTGCCTCCATTTTTGTATGTGAAGCATAAACATTGATGAAGTATGGAAAACCACAGAGGTGATATGACCAGCTCCATAGAGAATTCTGCAAGTCTAACTACTTGAAAATCATAGTAGGGATGCATATAATTTCACATAAAAAGGACCATAGCCTTTGTATGCTAGCTTTCTACCTCTGGAAGAAAAGATTGGGCAATCTTAAAACCAGCACTGCAGCATGTGCCATATTCCAATGACCAGTATATTTTGATAATTTGCATTTACAGTTTTTCAGAAGAGAAA